ACAGAAGATTACTCATACGCACTGTGAACGGGCACACCCACAGCATGCAACGGGTGCAACAACTGCTGCTGCTCCTGCTCCTGCTTCGCCTGCTTCTCCTGCTGCTGCAACTGCTGCAATGCAAAACTGTCCGGCATGTTTGATGTAAAAATCCCTCAACTGAAATAGATTTACGTCACTGGCAGCCGGGCCAACTACGTTTGTTAGCCATTTTTCGGTGCTGGCTTCTAGATCTGTTCCAACTCTATCTCCCTATCTCTCTCTCTCTCTCTCACTCGCTGTCTCTCCCTATGGCTCTCGGCTTTGGCAATTTATTTGCAAATATTTTTCAGCATCAAAAATATGTGTGTGCTCCCATCCCACTCAGCCACTCAGCCACGCCCACTCGCCCATACGCTGTGCTGCAATTGTGCAGCAGTTGTTAGTTTTTATTTCTTTTCTAGTTTTATTTTTGTTGGCCGAGCTTAAACTCGGATTTTTGCCTGCTGCCAAATTATATTACGCATACGCCATGTTGCTGGAATTTTCATCAAATTTAAAATCAGTCTTACAACAACAACAACAACAACAGAAACACGAACACAACATCAACAACAATGCGCACAATTGCAGCTGGGCTGTCTGTGTTCGGGCTTTTGGGCCCGCTGTTGTCCAGCTTCGGTCTGCTCTGGTCTCTGCTGTCCTGCCACTCAATTGCGGCACCATTGACTAATCTCGCTTTTGATTTTCCAAAGCCATTAGCACACACACACATAGACACAGAGGCACACGCCTACGGACGAACGGCTTTGGACAGTGGAAAATATGACAATAGCAGCGACACCTGCACAGGAAGGACACTCCGTCCGGCTGGACACTAATTCACACAGAGACACGCAGCTGGCGCAAAGCAAATCCAGTTCCAGTTCCCAACGGTTCCCGGCCTGATGAGTTGTCACATGTCGTCGCACTCATCTACTATCGCACATCGTGTCCAGCCGCTGCGCTCTGCGCTCAGTGCTCTGTGCCTAAGTGCCTGGCTACTAAGCTGCCCATCTCACTTCCACTGCACCATCTCTCCCTCTCTCTCTCCCTCTCACTCACTCACTCTGCCTGCCTGCCTAAAAACTATTGAGTCGAAATTATGCAAAGTTTGGCTGCAAATATTTTTTAATTAAAAGCATTTGCACAAGCATCGCTCCGGCTCTGGCCAACTGGCCGCATAGCTTGTTAAATGTCAAAAGCACGCCTCACTGATTTCGCCCAAGTAGAAGGAACGGGAGGACGGCAGAGTGGACACTGCAAAAAGAGTTGGCATCTACAAAATTCATCTGGCAAAAATTCGATTGTGTTATTTTTTGTTCCCTCTCCGCTCTCGCTGAGCATAGTTTCGAGCAGAAGGCATGGAGAGTAGTAAAAACATGTCGCATTCACATTCGCATTCGCATTCATTCATTTTCATTTACTGGCATGTTGAGCATACGCCACGTTGGGTGCCAATGACAAGGCTCTGTAACTGTCAGGCTAGATGCGAAGGAGATGGCCCAGAACGGGCATAGGCATATTTAATTTAGTCTCTGGCCAAAATCCAATGAAAATTTGACAAAGCTACAATGGGATTTGCCCAACAACTTTAAACTAAAACCTAATTTCTTAATTTTCTAAAAATTCTTGATCCAAATACATTTTCAATCTGCCTTCGTCCACCTTTTCGTTTTTAAATATGTAATTAAATTATCACACATTGCTGTGCATTATTTATGTACATATCCCCTGGCATATTTCTGCTAATTGTCCGCTCTTTATATTATTTCTTCCCATTGTGCAAATCAACAGCTCTGTGAATAATAAATTATGCACTTCCCAACAGCAAAAAAAGGAAAATAAAGAAGGAGATGCAGAGAAATCATAAAACCATAGGCGTGGCCGGGCAAACAAAACACACTGATGACAAAAGCCAAAAATATTGCCCAGCTAAGCAAATGCTTAAAGAACAGTAACGAGTGGGACACATAAAAACCAACAAAAGTCTGCCCTCAGGCGACAAGAGACAAGAGCACAACAGAGCAGGACACACAGTGTGGACTACGGACTATGGACTGTTCTCTGTTCAGTGTTGACTGTTGACTGGGCCATGTGCTGCCTCAAGGCACACTCGGTAGAGGCCCAACAACTTGTCCATTTATGGCGCTTCATTTTAAACAACAAACACTCGGCAAACACTTGCCCTGGCACTGGCACGCATCACTTGGCTTGATTTTTAATTGTGCTGCTGCGCATTTCGATTGAAATATGAAAAAGCGGGAGACTGCCGACCCCAGCGGGACGGGCCAGAGGAAGGGCTGGGCACGAGCTGACGCCGAGGCAGCAGGACCAGGCGTAGGCAGCCCACAGCACAGCAGAGCAATTCCAACCATGGCTGCGCCTGTGCTCAACAGCTTGTCTGACTGTATGCCAGACAGTCGTCAGTCGTCCGTCGTCCGACTCGGCGTAGGCCTTTTGAAGCATAAAGATAACTTAAGTTGTCCCCACAGGAGCTGAGAGCACGAGAGGCAGCAAGAGGCAGAGTTCAGTTGCAAACCGACAACTCGAACGACGGCGGCTGCAAACAAATGACACTGAAGTTCACCTTTTTATGCCAAGTGGGTTGAGTCGAGAGCAGGAGAGAGCGGGCGAGAGATAGAGAGAGGGAGATAGAGAGCTGTCCTGGGATCTGGCGCTTACATAATAAAGTAACTCAAGTGCGCTAAGCAGTGAAAGCTTTTGTAACGGGTTGTCACTGGGCCGACTGAGACTACAGAGACTACAGAGGCTCGGTCGGTCGGTTGCTGCTCTTTTCTGGCTCTACCTCTGCCTGCGTCACATTAAAGAAATTATAAATATGTCGACAGAGCCGGTCACGTATAAAACTGAGCTGTGTGTGAGTCGGTTTGCTTAGCAGACAATTAAAAATTCCATTTGTGGTATTTAAAGCATTGCACATGAGCGAATTACAAAGGCCAAAGTCCTTGAGCCAAAGGGCCAAAGGGCAATGCAAATGCAGGGCAGCACAGGCCTTGCCGGGCTAATGAAATGACCAGCAGGAGGCGGAGCTCTGGTAAATGACAGATAATAGGCAACGTAAGAGCTGACAATTTGTCGCAATCGTATTAGTCGAGCAGGCCTCACTTCAATTAACATATTTACGTATACTCTGTGTAAATTGTTCGGGTAATACGTCACTCACGTACATTTCATTGAGTAGCCCGTTCATGTAAAATCTAAGCCTGAATCAAATTCCGTTACATCAGCGATAGTTGTGAACAATTTTTTTTTATTTTGGACTATATTGTTTTATACGGCTGCAAGCATGCTCAAAGTACCTCAGAGGAACAAGCTGCCGTCACTGACGCCGCGTCCGATCAAAATCGAACGGCCGACACCCAGAAAAAAGCTGAACTTCATTAAGCCGGCGTACGTAATGCCAAAGAAACCAACCAGATCGGAGGAAATCGCCAATATGACTGCCGAATTGAATGAGCGCTTGATTACACTGCAAGCCCGCGTCGCTGAGTGGAAGGCCCTCAGAGAGAATAAGAATGAATAGAGCTTGTTGATATATATATATATATTGTTTTTAGCCGGAAATGCACAACAAATTAAACAACGTTTTCAGTACGACGATTTCGATTTATGCAAAGAGTCACGAACCATTCAGATTTGAAAATTCTTCAAAGCCCCCAAATCATTTGTCCAGTTGATTAAATTTCCAGCCAAACATTTCGCTGGCTCATTGGCTATGCATGCTGCAGCGCTCTTAATTGCATGTTTTAGGCCAAAAACGCATAATTGATTTAAATGGCAGACGCAGACGGGCATGCCACGCGCTGAGCATGGTGAAAGGCCGCTATCAGAACAATTCCCAGTGCTGAAATCCATTCGGCGATCGCCCCAAAAGATAATGAATGGCATAATGGCAGCGAGGCCCACAACTGTTTATTAGCAATGCGCGATTCGGGCGGCCGGCCACATGGCGTATGCGTAATATGCCAAGCATAAACAAATAGAGCCCCGGCACAGTCCATAATTATGCACGCCCATGTGAGGCGTGGCGCATTGATTGAACGCCAAATCACTTAACCCAATTCAAAGCCAAATGCATTGGCAACAACTTGGCAACAGCAGCAGCAGAAACCTTTTTTCTTTCTCCTCTCCTTTTCTTTTACTCATTTCATTTTCCCTTCTCGTGTTTTTTGCCAGGCGATTTCTATGGCCGCAATCGAAGCTGACAAATGGTCGATTGGCAGCTTAATGGCAGCCACGCTTTCCGCTTTGGCAACGAAGATTCCGAGCTGGCTAAGAAACATGCTAAATAGCCGAATGCCTCAGTGAGCCTGCTTCCAGCAGTCACAGCGGCAGCAGCTGCTTTCTCCATGCTGTATAAATTTTAATTTCCTCTCGGCCTGGCTGCTGGCCAAAGCTGCTGGCAAAGCCAAGCCCCAAGTAAGCAAAGCCAACTCCAACTGCAACTTCAATTGCAATGTGGAAACCCCAAAGTGATAGCTGCAGCTTCTCAATTTTGGGCTTGGGCAACAATTGTTGCTGATTTAACACAAAATACAGCCAATCTGCTGCTTGGAGACGGGGCCAGAGGGGCCTGACGCTTTGGATATTTGTCAATGTCCATGGCAAACAGTTTTGGCACAGCTTCGCCTGCCAAATCTGAATCTCTGTGTGTGTGTGTGTGTGAGTGTGCTTTATAGGTTTATTAGTAGAGTCTGTTTGGCAGTGCCTTTAGCAATGATTCGGTACATAATTTAGAGCAAAGCATACTAAGTACTCCTCTGCCCAAGTGCCCGAACAGCAGCTCACAGTCCATTTATGGCAAACATAATTAAGATATTATAATGGAAGAGCCAATATGCAATATTAGACATAAATAGAAGAATGGAACAAAGAGAGGCAATGGCAGCTTGTATTGAAGACTCTCTCTATCTCTCTCTCTCTCTCTCTCTCTCTCTCTCTCTCTCTCTCATTTGAAT